CTTATAGTGAGAATAAAGTGTGAGATTTCAAATCAAATTTATTGTCAATCTTCACAAATTCCATGCGTTTTTTCGAGCTATCAATGAAACAAAAGAATATGTTACTTGGTTTTGAGGCTAACACAGAGCAAACCAGAACTCGAAATTGAAGTATTATCAAGATAACATCAACTATGCAATACAGTACCCTTGAGTCCAAGTTAATGAGCTTTGACTGCACTGTCTCTAGCTGTGCCTTCATGCGAATGTTCTCATCAGTGGCTGCAGCAAGGTTTCTACTCTCATTRTCAAGTTGGATCTTGAGCTGGTTCATCTATCAATACAAGCAAATGAAAGTTACTTAATTGCACATACATCTACATCTACATGGTTCCAGCACTTGGCAACGTTCATTGGGTTACTAGATGTATATTAGTATGAGGTCTCATAGACTAGTAACCTTTATACGAACACTACGCCAAGCCGACCTCAATGCTGGTGAGATGAGCCCTGGCCACACCACCGGGAACTCTGTGCCCTACTCTTAGTTGAATAGTGGTATGGGTCCTTTAACGTCCCTCTGATGCTAATGAGAAGTGTAGAGAGACGGGACCTCCGATTTAACGTCGTTATCTGAGAGGACGTGAAGATCTTACCATTTGCAGATGGAGAAACAAAGGCAGCAACTTCTACTCAATTATTTTAAGACCCTGAGTATTGGTCCAATCAGGGTTTGAACCCACGACCTCCCGCGCGCATTGTAATCCGATGCTCAACCAACTGAGCCAATCGGTTTGCAGTCACAATTTGTCAATGGTAAATCCACTTGACGTTATCGGGTTGCTTTTTAGCGTTTTTTGAACATTGTATATTAAATAAAGGTCCATTAAATCAAAGAACAATAATTCCTTTAAAAAGTTCTGCTGTTACAGTCTGACTGCAAGAAGACCAAATACAGAGAAGCTGGAGGCCCGACCCACCAAAATGATTGGAAATGGTGCTAAACATGAGTATAGCTAAAGATGAGAATAAACTTACAATGTTTTGATGTGAGATTTCTGATTCCTCCTTGAATCTTCTCAATTCATGCTGACTATGAAGCTTGACTTTGGCCAACATGGCCGCCAGATTCTCATCAATAATGTTGTGTTCGTGGAGTCTCTCTTCAGCAAGGAGTATAGTCCTGTCTGCATCATCAAGTCTTAACCTCATTTCAGCCATTTCCTATGGATGTTTGAAATAACTTATTCATCAACATATTCAATCATTTTATTTAATGGTTGCCATTGTCAACAGCATTCAAATGTAGTCAAGTTTTAGTTCATTTCAGATACAAAAACTAAGGTGACTTCAAATACCCATTTACAATCCAATCACAATTCAATTCAGTCCAATTTATCTATTCTTTGTTCAACTGTCCATAGCTAAGAACAATGCAGTGTCAAAGAACTTACAAGAAAATACAAGAAAGTAGAGTCACATAAGCATGGAAACAATTCTTAACTATGTAGTGCTAAATAAGATTTAGTTATCAACTAACTAAGAATTGAGAACAATGCTACAAAATGAATTTAAATAATTGGCATTGTGTTTATGCTTTGTTAAATTCTTAGTTAGTTGATTTTTATATCTTATTTAGCAATACATATTAAGAATTGTTTCATGCTTATGTGACATGCACTCTATGTTGAGTGAAAAGTCAGACACTCCTTACTTTTTCATGAAGCTGTTGTTCAAACTTCAATTTTTCCCTCAATTGGTTGACCAGAGTTTGTAGGTCAGCTCTCGCTGCTGTCTCGGTGTCCAAAGCCTGCTGTGTGCAGGTCARGGCCCCCTGGAGACTGTCACGGTCCTTCTTAGTGTCCATATGTGCATTCTGGTGCTGTGTGATTGTCACTCTGCCGTCTTGCAGCTGGGCGTCTTTCTCTGCAATTACTCTGTGGGCATCTGCTAGGGAGTTTTCAACCTTTTTACGAATATTGGACTCTTCAGCAAGCCTAGGTATAAATATAGGAAAATAAATGAATGAATTAATGAATAAATAAATGGATGTACAAGATGAGAAATAAATAGTTGAATACAAACTGAATGGATGAAAATATGGGAAAATATTAAAAAAAATACCGTGAATAAACAAATGACAAAATAAAATTTAAAAAAATAAAGAAATTGCAGTAAAAAAAATCAAAAGAAATATTACTTATGTCTAAGCATTACAAAAGCAAGGAAAGCCATTAAAATGCTAACAAAAATTGACATTGAAATGGCTTTGCGACAAAGTCATAAAAAATATACCACCTAATTCCAATTATACGTAAAATGTAAAATATTCATTCAAACAAACCCGTAATTTTCACACTTATGAATAATAAATAAAACAAAGAATTTCGTCGAATRTCAAAATATTTATGTATTTCTTACTTGTCTTGAAGTTCKGTCACAAGCGCGGTATTCTTTGCTGCAGCAAGCTGGTGTTGAGTCCTGTCTCTYGAAATATGATCAAGTTGGTTCCGGAGCTCTTCGAGTTSTCTTTCATACATCGCTTTYAGTGCTAATATTTCCTCTTCGAGAACTTTGGTGGAGTTTATGAAATTTATAGTGTCACTTCGGCCACTCTGCTCTCGCATTTGCCTTACCCTGGAGATATAGCTCGAGAAKCGATCATTTAGATTCTGGAGGTAGTCCTTTTCGAAGTATTTTGGGATSAGTATCGGAGTTGTCGAAGTCATGTTGCTGTTTCTAGGGAGACGAGATTGCTGATAGTTAATTTTATAATCACCTCTGTCTTGAGCTGGAAATAGCCTCGTTCAAACCAAATCGTCTTGAATTAAATTGAACTAGTTATACARCTACAAGTAAATTTAAACCTATAAATTCAGAGTTTTTGGAACACAGAGTTTCAAAAGTCGGCCAAGTCTAAAAGAACAACACAGCGGACATTCCTGAGGTGGTACTCGAGAGATACACCAAAGTTCGGCTGAAATTTCTTGCAATTTCTCCAATGCTTTCCACACTTTAAGAATTCCTCTACGTTTCCAAGTCTTTTTAGGAGTATATTAAATCTCTAAACAGACCTGTCACAATTGGAACGTCTATTTCCGAAGTGGCCTTTTGGAGCAAATTAGAAGTTACTATAGCTGTATTTCTAGCTACTTCAGATCAATATATACCACGATTACAGCTCCCTCAACATCTGCTCAAGCAATCTGAACTTCCTTTGCAGTTCTTGTAGCTTCAAACTTTAAAACRGAGATGGAAAAAGTCCAAAGTTTGTGCCGGCGTGGTTATGTTGTGAAGAGAGCGTCCCTCTCGTAACTAAGCAATAACTTGATTAACTATTCATAGATTCTGTCAAAGTGAGCAGCACTACAATGGCTTTCTGCCAATAATTGTTTACACAGCCAATCAAATGGCTCGATTGTTCATTAATAATGAGTCGATTTACAGTGTTTTATAGACATAAAAGATCACTTGACGTCTGAATACTAAACATGTCAAAAACTATTAAAACTGGACGTATAATTTGGATCAAAGAAAACATACATTATTTATATGCAAATCTAAAAAAATAATTTTCGACTTCAAATCTTTCTGATATTGAAAAAATTATAAAATTCATTGGTGCTGTACATTCATGAATAATTAATATTTGAGTTAAATTCTGCAGAGCTCACAGAAAGATCTGATAAAAAAACTGTTTATTTTATCCACTTTATATCGCATCATTCAATTCACAAAATTTAATGAAAAAAGTTYCAGTAATTTGTGCATAATTTTTGTCTGATRTTTTTGTTGTTGTATTCTAACTTCACAATATTGAGCCCTTATTACTCATTGAACTTCGTATTGTGAATTCTGGCTTGCATATTATTGCATGATAGTTATGATGGTAGCCGTTTACATAAGATATTTTACATGTTTTAATTTGTCAATAAAAGATTGTGTAATATTCAAGAAATTATATGATTGTACAACATTCATTTACAAGGATAAAACTAAAGTGAGGCATATTTTTTTTAATAAACTGCAATATATAGTATTCACTAGCCTTGTGACTTGTACATGACCTGTATAAAAGCTCACCTTAACAACACATCTCAAATGCAAGACAAAACTTGACATGTCCTTCTGTCATTGTCAAATTATTCTCAAACTTAAATTGTTCAGAGAGATTAGAAAGCTTTAAGGAAAACTGAAGCTGTCAGAGAATACCATAAAATAACATTTATCAACTCCTGTTTTAGCTTTTCTGGAATCCAAGTCAGTGGCATAGAGTCAACAATACAAGTATTATGAAAGGATGACTAGGTCAGATGTCAAATCAACTGAAAAATAATACCAAAATGACAGAAACATGTTAAAGAAACTAAGTCCTATTGTTTTGAGAAAAAAAAAATAGAAAAAAATACAATTCTTCCTAAGAAACCCAAAATATATCCTCTGTCTCCCTAAGCTCAAAGTTTTTGGATTATGGGGGAATAAAGTTTTGCAATGGGATCAAAAACTGTCTGTTTTCTGTTTTGTTTTTCTCTTGGAGTCTCAATGAAGGTAAAGGAAAACTAAAGCAAATTCATAAAGTAATGCTTTCACAGTGCACTATAACTCATTCACAAATGTGAGAAATAGATATTAGACTAATACAACTTAATCTAGCCGATAATTCCATTGTTTTCTTTTRTGCCTTTTGAAGTATCACACCTTGAGTACTATATATTTTCTTTCATGGCTTTAATGTTATCACTTTGTTCAACATTCTTTAAAATAACTATACTTGATTTTTACACCTTGCTTTTCWTTCTCAAGTTCAATGTCTTATAAATATATTGGCTTTGACAGGAAACATAACAAAATTTTTTATACAAAAACACCCTGTTCAGTGCTATAATCAATATTGCTAACAACTCTTTCTTTCTTTGAATGCCTWGTATTGTGTGAAACAGTGGGTTGTGGRAYGTATGTTCTAGKTCTTTCAGAAGATAAYGAAGCTTTTGATAATACTGAAGTTGYTGTYGGTTTTGAAGAATGGGCCCCATAAGAATTAGCTCTGCCTTTTGTATTGTCATGCGTMCCTTTGAGCCCTACAGAGCTCATYGTAGAAGTTTTTCCAAKATCTTTWGAAAGATTYTSTTTTTGTAACACCTCAAATTTTGCTGGATTTATCTCAGGTTCGGACAAATGTTTTGATTTATCCCAAGTTTTAGGCTCAGAAACATTTGTAATGTTCATTCCATAAGGCTTTGCTGTCAGCTTCAAGACCTTTTTCTCTTCAGACATTTCAAAATAATCTACTGACTTTGTTTCTGGAAGTTTAGGTATTTCTGWATTTCTAACACTGCWTTCATAGGGTTTAGGTTGGTGTATGAAAKTTCTTTTATTGTCTGAAAATGCTCTATAAAGACCAATTCTTGMATTGCTAACTTTTTCTTCTAGTGGTGAAACTGCATTTTCTAGATGTGGAGGTAGAATTTTACTTCTTGGAGGTTTGGGTGCAAGAGGTGTCTTGCCAGAATTTTTTCTTAATTTTTGTTCACAAACTGCTTCGTTGTWMACAKCACTTTCATTAACGTTTTTCCTTTCAAAAACGTCTCGGATTTTTTTGAAACTTTCTTTTCTTTTTGAATGGAATTTTGACATATCTGAAGGTTGTGATGCAAGATTATTGGCARTATTAGAACTGATTTTTGTTGAAGAAATATCTGGAGTTTCTGGTGTTTTTGTTGGAACTTCTGGAGAAATTGTTGTGAAGTCTTTGGAAACTCTTGGTGGTGATTTTGAACTCTTTTCCATATTAAGATTTTTTSCGTCRGGAATTWCTGTGAAGTTTGCAATGGTAAAATTTTCTGTTTCATCGATGCCATTCTCAAGAAAATTCGCTGACAACGAAGAAAATTTGTGTAACTCTTCTGAAGTTGCGGATTGGTGACTTTCACTTTCGAAAAACGTTTTCATATTTGATGAATTCCTCATGATTTCATTCTTGCTCTCTTCTCTCTCGTTTACTTTTTCAATGTTCTCGGTTGAGGATTGAATTTCGTCGTGATTTTTGTGGTTCATGTTCATAGTTTCAAGTGTTTCCGCCGTTTCAATGTCTTTCTCATACAATTCAACATTTCCATTTTCGCGACGTTTCGTSGACTCAACCTCCGGTACTTTTGGAAGAAAATTTTCAGTCATGCTGAAATCATCAATACAAGATTCAATCTCTTCTTTCAGGCGATAAATAGTATCGTTTTTAATTTGTACAGAATTATTCAAGTCCRACATAGACGAGCTAATTGAATTCATTTCTAAATCCTGTTTAGAAAACAAAGCATTTTGCTGGGACAGCTTTCGGGAAATGACTTCCAGTTCTTCACGCATCCGYGCGYYATCAGTCTCAGAGKTYCTCATTTCCTTGTARGAATTCTCCTCTTTTTCTARATCTTCCAWTAGCATATCAACTGCATCATAAGCYTCTGCTATCCGCTCTTCTRTTTTAGAAATTTTATCCCCAAAAGAGTCACGTTGTTTGGAAAGATTTGTGAATGTTTGCTCAAGAYTCTTGAGTTCATTTTCACAAGTTTTTAACTCAACTAGCTCATTTTCTTGTAGCTTGAGCACTTTCTCCAATTCAACAGCCAAATCTTCAGCAATTTCKTCTTCTGTAGAGTACAARAATGCTTCCTCGTTGCTGTCCCAACAAGAAAAGTGAAGTTCAATTATTTCTGCTGCACGCGCTAGRGACTCAATCTTACGTCGCTGGATAGTAACCAAATCCTCTAGGGATTCACAATCGAGCGATCGTTTTATTAGATCACTCTTGTCATCAGCTCTCAAATTAATTGAAGTTTTATTTAAATGATTAYACGTTGACAAGCTCTCGTCTTGTAGTACCAATGTAACATCGTGCTTAAAAGAACCCCAGGATTGTACGCACTTCAGAGGACACTCTTCGGGCGGTAAAATTCTCTCGTRTCCGCGCCATCTTTCAATCAGCGCAACTTTTCCAGTTTTTCCTGCTGCTTTTGCTAACACTAAAATGATATTYTCACAAGTTGTTTCTTCACTGACACCRCGTATTTCTCTTTCTTTRCCATCMACRACGACTTTAAGCTCGCTCATAGTAAATTATTCTGATTAATCATSAACATGACGACCTACRCGTCTCGACGGCGTCCAAATTGCCCAACCAATATACCAAYAAAACTCCCAAAGAAACATTAGAAATCTTGATTGTCGGATTATCAAKCACTTGCTTCCCAATTCGCTYCAGCAGAGGAAATAATGACGAAGAGTTTTCTTATCTTTCAAGACGCTGTCGCGTTGAAAGACGAAAATTTGAAACTATAATGCTAGTGTCAATAAACTAGAACGCATGCGTGTCGGTCTGGGATCAGAGTTCATCCTCAAAMGATCGTAAGTGACGGAAATTTTAACGGAAAATGTTTTATCTAGAAYGTGATACTTACTTGTGTAWCTTTAGAGAGATTTTGATTGGATCTTTGYGATTAATTTTTGATGTTAAAATGTGATTAATTATTTAGTGAAGGATATATAAGGGGATTAGAGGGCATAAACTTAGCTTCGCTAACCACTGGGTTTATTGTTGTATTGTCGAGAAAAGAAAGGTATTCTATTTTGGGACGTTGATATAATTCAAAGGATAACTTATGAATAAGGTTACAAATTGACAATAAAGAGTAAAATAAATTTACCAAGTAAATCACTATTTCAATTTTCATATCTATTTTATATTAAATGATTGAGCTTTATAAGTTAACCAGTGTAAATTTAATTTACCTATGAATACTGATTATTAATTTATTAATATGATTATAATAATAATAATAATAATAATAATAAAAATAATAATCCTTGATATTATTATTTTTTCTAATGTTTATACAATGTGCACGTTTAATTCTCCTCACTATAAGCAAATAAAAAAATAATAACAATAAAGCTACATTTATAGATACATACCCCCAGATAAAACAGTCCTCCAATCAAACCTCTTCTAAATACATAAGAACACTCTTAAGCCAATCAATAGCCTCAGAAAACCTTTTCAGTTGATAAAGTTCCTTGTTCTCTGACACTAAAGTCTCTTTGGTTGACTTCAACTCATCATTGTTTCCTTGATCCAGTGTCCCTATTAGTCCAGAATATACCATTTCCAGGAATTCTTGCAGTTTGTTATATCTCTCTGCTATGTCAAAACCGACAGCTGTTTGGATCTTCTTCAAGCAAACTGGACACATGAAAAGAGGTTGGCTGACTGCTTCCTGGACAGTTGAACTTTCATTCATTGCACAGGAAAAATAGACGCAGTGTGTTAGACCAAAAACATGCCCAAGTTCATGACTTATAACCTTCAGATAACAAAAATGAGATATTCTCAGTATTTTCGTTG